ATGACTCTTGGGGAAGAGGGGAGGGGAGGTAGGGGAAAGAGGTCTGTCTACAATTGTTCTAAATTCGGCAATAAAAATAAATAATAGAGTAATTAAAAGAGTTGGGGAGCAGTGGCAGCCGAAATGTGGAGGGGTGGGGGAGGGGTAAATGCAAACAAAATCAATACGACCATCCATCAATGTTCTTGTGAAAGAGTGTTCTATTGATTTGGCTTTGAACTTTTTGTTGTTGTTGGCGGACTCTACCCCCTCCTCTCCTGCTGAATGCATTCATTTCACAAAAGAAAGGGAAAAAGGGTGATTTGTGATCACCCGTAGTGAAGAAAGTGTGTGTGTGTCTGGGTGTTTATCAATAACCTTGGAAATTTATTAGGGGAAATTGTCTCCCCAAATTTCCCTCTGCAATCACTGTTTTACGCTAAAGGGGTGGGGGAGATCTTACAAGAAGGGAATCAAAGCAAATAAAAGGGTTCATTGTCATTCCCATTCAAAGGTCACAGCCGAAATAATGACAACAATGGAAGCATCCCCAATGACGATGATGATGGTAGTGATTATTCTGATCAAAAAAAAAATCTGTTTTGTCCAGACCTTGAAATCAGTTTGCTACGATTTCGTATAGATAAATGGAATTATTACCATTTCAATGCAATCAAATAACCATCATTATCAATTATTTAATAGTTATTTCAAATGAAAACAACAATTATATTCCAATTTTAATACCCCATCTAAGGGCCGACCATTGTTATGTAATTTATTATTTTTTTTATTTTGTTTCCAATTTTTTTTTTTTTTGGTTAATATTTTGGGTAATAAAAAATAACTAACTGTAAATTTTCATGTACTTTGATATCAAGCCACAATACAATTGTGTTTTAATGGGAAATGTGATCTTCAATTGGACCACGCCATCACCGCCATCATCATTGGCGTCCTCATCAATCATGGGATGGTTAATATTTGATGTGAAAGGTATGGGGGCTGTAGCATTGTTCTCAAACACCACCGAAAACTACTTTCCCTTTTTTTCATATTTTATTATTATTATTATTATTTCATAACTTGATCATATGATAAAGAAAAATGGATAATATTTATGGGGAGAAAAAAATCTCAATTTTTTGGGTCAAAATAATGTCAGTTTTGATGGTTGCTCGATAATGGCTGCCGGCATGTGATGTCTTATTTGAAGCCACATGAAATTAATAACAAGCAACAACGAACGATCCAATGGAAGGATATAATGGAAACTTATTTTAGCAGTTTTTTTTTCTGAAACTTGGAAATTACCGATATTAATAACAACGTGCGGTACCTATAAATTTTTATACCCTACAACACATAGTGATAAGGATAATATGACTTTATTTTGTAACATGGAGAAGAAAGCGAGATATATCCACTTTCTGAGTCGATTTATGCATGTCAGTATATCTGTCCGTCCATGTCAACAAAATACAATTCAAATTTATTATCCGATTGAGATAAAAATATCCAAACAATACTTGTTTGGTCCAAGGACGAACCCTATTGAAATCGGTGAGAATCGGTTCAAATTTAGATATAGCTCTACAAATAACCGAATTCGGGTTAATTGTGCACCAATTGGCCAATATCAGTCCAAATAACCTGAATTTCGGCACATACGACCAACTTCAGTCTAGAACAAGTTAAAAAGCAGTAAGCTCGGCCGGGCCGAACTTTGATACCCTCCACTATTTGGAATGAATTTGGAGATAAAATCCTTAAAAAATTTGTTAACATTTTAAAAATAACGAATATAGCCGTTTAATTGGTGTCTGTACGACGTGGACCTACATGGGCATTGTTTGTCATAAGTCATTACCATATTCAAATCCGAAACTTGAAATAAACGGTGAATAATGTAGCAAAAATCATCATAATCGTTCTGCCATAGGCTGTAGCATTCATTACGAACTTCAAATACGCGTCTCAAACAATTTCGGTGGATATTGTACCTAAACTCGTCAAAATATCGAATATAGGGAGGTACTGGTATGTGGGGCCTGCATACCTGGGCTTGCATACACAATTTTCTGTCACAGACTATAGTTCCCATTACGAACTCTAAATACGTAATTTTAAACAATTCCGGTGAATAATGACGCTAAAATCATCAAAATACCGAATATCGGGAGGTACCGTTATATGGGGGCTATTCGAAGATTTGGACCTGCACAGACCAAAAGCTATACCAAAACGTGGAGCTACATGCCCAATTTTCAATACCAAAAGTCCTGCAGACATAACATACATTTGAGCAAAATTTTATCAATCTACTTCAATTCGTTCGGAAGCTAGCGTGATTTCCACAGACGGACACACAGGCGGACATCGCTAAATTGACATAGAATTTTATGCTGATTAAGAATATATATACTTTGTGGGGGAGGGTATAAAAAGGAAAGAAGTATCGACAAATGTATACCCTCAGCCTATGTTTAATTAAAATTATCTGATATATCGACGTGCCAGATTTGGACTATGTCGACTTCTGCCCTCTCTTTATATGATATACGTGATAATTTTAGGAAAATGTTGAATTCCTGATATGGCAGACCGAAGTAGTCCACTTCATCTAAAACTGATAAAAATATTGGGTTGTGCAAAATTAAATGAGAATCTAAAATTTATTAATGATTGATCACAATTTTAACCTTTTGTGGGTGAGGTACCAGAAGTAGCGGAACCAACTTACACCGAACCAGAAAAAAACTTATTCGTGATGGAATTGGCTGGAAAACCACAAGTGGCTATCGTTAAAGAACTCTAGCATTTAAATGTGAATAAATCTTTTGTGTCTCCTACCATCGCTCGTCACCGTGACATTGGTAGCGTAGCCCGACGTCAAGGAAGTGGACGAAAGAAAACAGCAACATAAGCAGCAATGGTTAGAAAAGTAAAAAAGCGACTTGATCGAAACCCGCGCCGCAGTGGCCAAAAATGGTTTATGAGCTGATCATATCGCAATATACCATTCGGTAAATATTGAAAAATGAGCTCGGTGTAAACACCAAAAAGTGCAAGAACTTACACCGCAACAGAAATAAACCAGTAAAGAAAGTCCTAAAGTCGGGCGGGGCCGATACCGTACACCATTTTGCTAATTTAGTAGAGCTCCGCATAACAATCAAAAGTTTTTATGGGAGAATTCAATCATACACGCTATGATTATAATTTAAAGTTCAAAGGACTGAATATGCCGAAGTATTTATATATTTTAAATTCGGACTTGCATTGCCCATTTGGTGCTATATAAAAATCTGAACCGATCTCGATAAAATTTGGCAAAGATACTTCTGAGCTGTATTTGATATATTTCCCTGAATATGAGTTGTTATAGAGTGCATATTACGGCTGTGGGTAACAAATACAACAAATCGGATTAACAATATATATAGGAGCTCTAGCTATATCTGAACCTATCTTCACCAAATGTGGCATACTACCTTCTAAACTCAATTCGGTCGTATGTGCCAAATTCCATCCCATTTGGGCACATATTAGACGTTTGGTGCACAATAAAAGGTAAATCGGACGAAGTTATATATAGGAGCTATATCCAAATCTGAACCGATCTCGATAAAATTTTGCAAAGGTAATTCTGAGCTGTGATTGATATATTTCACTGAATATCGTTGTTACGGAGTGCATATTACGGCTGCGGAGGACAAAAATAACAAATCGGATGAACAATATATATGGGAGCTACAGCTATATCTGAACCGATTTCGATAAAATTTGCCACACTTATTTTCAGGCCTAATTTGGTTGTATGTGCAAAATTCCACACTATTCGGGCTGATATTACACGTTTGGTGCACAATAAAAGGCAAATCGGACGAAGATATATATGGGAGCTATATCTAAATTTTTACCGATTATCTCCAATTTCAATAGGGTTCGTCCTTGCGCCAAACAAATGTTGTTTGGAAAATTTCATCTTAATCGGATAATAAATGCGACCTGCATTTTGTTCACAAGAATACATGGACAGACGGACGGACGGACGGACATGCAAAATCGACTCAGAATATGATTCTATGCAGATCATCAAAAGGAACTATGGGTCTATCTCGTTTCCTTTTGCCTGTTACAAACAAATGCACAAAGACATAATACCCTGACCACCTTGTGGTGTAGGGTATAAAATGTCGAAAATAGCATCAGCAAATTGGTGTAGGGTATCATAAAGTCGGCCCGCCCGACTTTAAGACATTCTTTACTGGTTTGTTTTCATTTAATAAAATTAAAAAAAAAGTAAAAATTGCGGATGTTGACTTTGTTTTTTATCTCACCCTGTATATACCTAGAATGCACTGATTTTGAATAATTTTAAACATAAATTTTTCAAAAGTGTGAATAAGGGGGGAACTTGCCCCTCTATGTTTGATATTTTTTTGATGTAAAGTTTCGAAAAGCCGATACTCTTGTTTAGCTCTACTTTCATTTGCGTAATTATTGAAAAATTGAATATTGTCGAAGAGTGTTGTTATCAAGGTTATAGCTAATTTTTTTTTTGAAGATTGAAGGAAATAGAATTTACATAATTCCAAATTAACCCTCAATAGTTGTGACATTGCAAAAAAAAAAAAAAAACTAATCTTGTTCATCAAAACATTTGCCATATAAATATTTAATTATTTGATTGACTCGAATCATGCCATGCTAATTAGAAGAAATAATTTATAAATATTACGGATGCTTGTTAACGAGACATTAAATGTAATTTGATAATAAAACAAACTACTACAATAGCGGGGAAAATATGAGAACAATTAATATTCCTATTTTATTTCTACTCTATGCCATAGGCCATGGCGAGGCTTTCAGTAGTCAGGTAAACATTTTAAAGAAATTTGGAATTTTTTGGAAAATTAAAATTGAAAATTTTCTGTAGAAATATCCTTCTAGAAAACCTGGTCCATTGAAATGAAATCGGTGGAGGTAACAACCTCCAATCCGGATCTAACGGTTTCAAAGTGAGTCGGGTGTCGCGTGGCCTCTATGCCCTGTCGGGAAACATTGTTTTAAATTTTGAAATCGTTGAAGGAGATGCCAATGAGGTGGGGTTGTCATTTGATTTAATTTTTTTAAAACTAAGTTTAATTTTATATTTTTCAGATGGAAATGAACATGTATCACAGTTCCACGGGCAAGAATGATTATCGCGCTCTACCCTTTCGCATATATCGCCAACATGTCATTGATATTTTGAATTCTGTCTACAAAGAGGGTGCCATGGAGAATTTCGCCTCCTGTTCAAATCTACCACAATTTGAGGATAAATTTGAACCACCCCTCGTAAAGGATACCTATTACATGGACAAGTGCCAATTTGACGAGTCCGGTTTTCCAAATCATGCCCAAGAGGGTTTCTATAAAATTGAGGTAATCGGTTATGGGGAAGTTGATTGGACAATGATATTGGTCTTTAAATTGGACGCTGATGTGTGAAATTTTGGGAAAAAAGTTATAAAATATATGAGAAATGATATCGAATATATATCTAAGGGTTTGAAAATCTCCATATAAGGGGATCTGGGTCTAACATAACTGTTTACCGGGTAAGATTTTAGAATTTGTCATAAACTGTTTTTTTTTTTTGGAAATTCAAAAGCATTTGCCGGAATTGATGTTTTTAGACATTTTTTTCCTGTTTTTAGACATTTTATAAAGGTTTTCCTACTTGGTACTAATATTTTGGTTATAGGACATGCAAAGATGCCAAAAGTATTGGCTACATACTTAGTTGCCCCAATACTGTTCGCTGGTTATCTAAAGGTCTCCACATGTCTTACAATGTTATGACCGCCGTAGATTCCCCTACTCCATTGGTAAGCTGCAAATGTTGATGTCATCACACAAAAAATTCGTCATAGGTCAGGTCGTCATTAGTAAAGCAAATAAATTTTATGACACTCTACAAATTGGATATACGACGTTTATATACGTTTTTAGGTATGTATGTGTCATAGAAACATAAACTGAACTCGCTTTTTTTATCTGCAATTTGCAATCACTAACTTTTAACTGACCTGACCTTAAACTTTATTTCGATTGAACTTTGACATGCAGAGCACATAAAAACTCACACAAACACACACATTTATACAAAGAGAAATTTCTAGCTAATGGAGACTTTTAAAACTTACAAGCCAGACATTGTTGTATGCTCATTTGAGATGGACAAAACAAGTAAAAAAGCTGTAAGTTCGGCCGGGCCGATCTTTGAACACCCTCCACCATTTGGAACGATTTTGGCAACTTTCAAAAAAATAAAATCCGTTAAAAATTCTCTTAAAATCCTAAGAATACCGAATTTAGCCGTTATATTAGGGTCTATACGGCGAAGTGGACCTACATAGGCAACTTTTGTCATAAACCATTACAAAACTCAAATACGAAACTTGAATAAAAAAATCAGTGAATAATGTCGCTAAATTCATCCAAATACCGAATATCGGGAGGTACCGTTATATGAGGGCTATACGAAGACGTGGACCTGCACAAACATTTTCTGTCATAATACCCGTTACGAACTTCAAATTCCAAATTTGAAACAATTCCGGTGAATAATGTCGCTAAAATCATTAAAATACCGAATATCGGGAGGTACCGTCATATGGGGGCAATATGAAGGGGTTGACCTACATGGCCCATTTTCAATATCAAAAGTCCTGCAGACATAATACACATTTGAGTAAAATTTTATCAACCTACTCGGAAGCTAGTCTGATAGACGGACAGACGGACGGACATCGCTAAATCGATATAGAATTTTCTGCTGATCAAGAATATATATTTTTGTGGGGTGTATGTATGTAGAATATAGAATAAAATGCAATCGGATTCCCGACGTCAATGAAGTAGACGGAAGAAAACAGCAACATCAGCAGAAATGGTTCGAAAGGTAAAGAAGCTCGCAGCGGCCGAAAAATGGCTCGTGAGCTGAACATATCGCAATATTCCATTCGGCAAATATTGGAAAATGAGCTCGAAGTAAAGCCATTGAAATTCCAAAAAGTGCAAGAACTTACACCGCAATAGAAGGAAAAAAAGATTCAAAAGAGTTGCTTCGCTTGGCCGAAAGTGGTGAACTGCCGAATTTGGTTTTCTCCGATGAGCAAACATTCATTGGCCAGCAGTTTGTAAACAAACAAATTTGTGTTTACTTGCCATAGAGGTCAGCTGGAAATGTGCACGTTCGGTTGGCCACCAGAACTCAAGCGCCGGTCGTGGTGATGTTGTGGGCCGTGGGCCGCCATAAAAGCCGATGATCGTTCTCTTCGTATTAATCGACCGTGGCATCAGAATAAATGCCGAATATTATCGCCAAAATATTTTGGAGGGTGTATAAAAGCCTTGGGCACGCAACATTTTGGCCGCGGACCTTGGACATTCCAACAGGACTCAGCACCATCGCCCTCAGCTCGCGCCATCCAAGAACGGTTACAAAATGAGATTCCTCGCTTCATTTCCAGGGCACAATGGTCACCAAAATCTCCGGATACCAAACTGTTGGACTATTGTATCTGGAGTATTTTGGAAAGCAAGGTTGGCACTAAAAAATACCAAAGTGTCGATCACCTCAAGCAAGCGCTTCGCCGGGAATGGGCCAAAATACCGCAGAGCAACATTCGGGCAGCGTGTGACGGTTTCATTGGCCGTTTGAAGGTCATAATTCGTGACAAAGCTGACCAATTCGAACAAATCTAAAGTTAAGGTAAAATTTGATGTTATTTCCGACATTTTTCATTCAATAAAATTTAAAAAAAAGTAAAAATTATGGCGTTTGACTTTGTTGCAGTTTGCTTAGCTCACCCTGTATGTTAGATAGGAATATATTTGGCAATAACTTTAAATATGATAGAGATATGTGGACCTCACAAACGATCTTATATATGAAAGAAGCTCTTTGTAGTTTTTAGAAATTTACCTTGGGAAATTAGGTGAGAGAGGTAATTTTATTCCAACTGTCGATAAAGTTCGAGATCTCTTCTTATCACTTAAGGGATTTCAAATTTCCAATTGATAGTTTCAAATCTTGAAAGTGTTCCACATATATAAAAGCTATAAAAATAACCACCATCTACATGTTATGCACATATAGCTACGCCATCTAGATATGATATTTGCTACGGGGCAGAGAGTTGGAAACAGTGGGACATGCAGTATATTTCTAACACCTAGGTTTAGCTAGATGTTGTTATCTAAAAAATACCAAAATTCTGTGAAAATTTCAGATATCAGAAATTATATCATGGAAATTTAATTAACAGAAAAAAATACCGCCACCTACATGTAATTTTCAGATTATATACGTATTTTTGATATGACAGGTATATGTTGCAGAATTGCGGGCCTTGGAGTGTCATTAATTTCCCATTTTCTATTCTAAAAGTCCACCATTTTGTCCTTTCATGTTCGAAATGCAAACTTAAAACTGAAGCATAGATGGCGTTTGTGATACATTTAAAAATAGGACCACCTAGATATATTATTTCCTCGATCTGTTTGGGTAGAGAGTTAAAACCATGCAAGCTATTTAATTTCTAACGCGCTAGGTTTCATAAAGTAAGACGCAGAATTTCATGTCAGCTAAAATTTCAGAGATGAGAAAAAAATCATCGTTGAATCGTTATTAAAAGAGAAGCTATCCGCCACCTACATGTCACCTTTAAATGACATTTATTCAATATGTTAATCCGATGCGGATAACAAACCCAACATCTTGAATTGTTTCCGTTTGAATAACTTGAATACGACAAACATTAGACTAATTAGTATCTACATACCAATTAAGGACACAATCTACCATGTCCCATTTTTCAAATTTGAAATATAGATGGCGCCCCTTGTCTTTCGCTATATTTAATGCATTTAAAAACAACAAACTTCAATATTCATGAAAATGTAAAACATAACTTTCGAAATGGCATAACTTTTATACCCTGCACCATACATAGTATGGAGGGTGTATAAGGTTCGTTATTCTATTTGCAACTCATCATATATATGTTTATGTTTATATATTCTTAATCAGCGTAAAATTCTAAGAAGTCCGTCTGTTTCAATCATGCTAGAGTCACGTTTTTTGGCACGAGTAGAATCTTTTGTCCACAGGCAGGTCGAGATGGGTCATATCGGTATATGATATCATATAGCCCCCATACAATGGTATCCCCCGATATTCGGTATTTTGAAGATTGTAGCCAAAATTGTCAATGGAATTGTCTGAAACTCCTCACAAGGAGCTCCTTCTAAGTACTTTACCCCCTGAAAGAGAATTGTATTTTTAGGTCCACGATATTATATAGCCCCCATACAACGGTACCCCTCGATATTCGGTATTTTAATGAATTTAGCCACATTTTTCATCGGAATTGTCTGAAAATTCACACAAAGAGTTCATTTTGAATACTTTACCCCCTGAAAGGGAATTTTCATATAGGTTCACGATATCGCATAGCCCCCATACAACGGTACCCCTCGATATTCGGTATTTTGATGATTTTAGCCACATTTTCAATGGAATTGTTTGAAACTCTACACAGTAAAGGTCTTTGTAAATACTTGACCCCCTGACAATCATCTGTAATTCTATACATGGAGTTATTTGTACTCCACCTCCTGAAAGAGAATTGTTTATATAGGTCCACGATATTGTATAGCACCCATACATCGATATCTCCCTTTACTCGGTATTTGGATGATATTGGTGACATTATTCGCCGAAATTGTTTCAAATTTCATATTAGAAGTTCGGAATCGTTACTACAGCCTATAGTTATGCAGCACCACGACTTCGTATAGGCCTCATATAAAGGTTTTCATTTGAGCGGTATTTTTCAGTGGATTTTTTTTAAATTTCAATGGTATAAAAATTTCGGCCCAAAAGAACTTAGCTGCTTTTTTACTTCTTTGCACTAAAAATCCTTAATAATGTCTTTACCAATCTAGAGTCCAGACATTAGACTTTTTTACAAAATCTGTTCTACACTTTTTGGTTTGAAAGTTCTACTTTCTTGAATATCACTTAAGCGAACGAACAATTTACTCATAATCTTTAAAGACATTGTTAAAAAATCGTTTCTATTTGACTGATCAACACCATTGTCCATTCGGCGGGACCATAGCCACGCACCATAACCTTATAGAATCCCTCGACGACATAATTCGGAAATCCCGACTCATCAAACAGACATCTGTCCATGTAATAGGTATCCGATTTCAGTGGTGGTTCAAAGAAATTTTTGAATTGTGGAAGATTTGAACAATTTTTGAAATTTGCCATTGCAGCATCCTTGTAGAAGGTATTCAGGATATTAAATAAATGGGTGCGATAAATTTTCAATGGCAGAATTCGAAAATCCTGCATATTCTTGGCACTGCGGAAAAGTTGAACCTCGAGCTGGAGATGTGGAAAGAAGATATCAAAAATAACAAATTAAGGAACGTCAGGAAAATTTCCTAATTTCCAATTTATGGTTTTCGTAAACCATAAACCATACCTCATTCGAATCGCCTTCGTTGATGTCGAAATTCAGAACTATTTTCCCCGACAATGCATGTAGACCACGGCCCACACGTTCCGCCTTAAAGTCCATCATGTTCAATAACTCCGGATGCGAAGAATTCACCTCGACCTTCTTCAATTCAAAGGTCCAGTTTTTCTAAAGAATGCAATGGAATTGAGTTTAAAACTATAAGATTTTTGCATTTTAAGTCGATTTTACCTCAAATATAGCTAATGCCGTTATCCCCACGGAGAATGGTAAAAAATGCAAGAATATTCTTGTAAATGTTATGAACTTCATTTTGAATAGTTGAAGGTTTCAATATTCATTCTCCACGAGTCGGTCATATTTATATTCTGTTAAATTGTGCTTTGCTATGACATGATGTAGTTTAACTAAACTATTTGAACAAATATTTAATAATTGGGGGGGATTTTAAATAATTATCCGGTAATGTGACAACCCGACGATTCTAATTAAGATTGATATGAAAACATGCGAATTTGGATTACATATATTACTAACTCTCATGAAATGCTTTGTACTAAAGCTAGTGGTCAGCAAAGTTCTAACTAATTAGGAAACACGTTTTCCTGATACATGATTTATAATTTATTAAAAATCTTGGGCCTCTGTGAAAGCAGAATACAGGGTTGTCCACATTCGACGGACCCATCTGGCAGCGCCATAACTTTTGACAGAGATGTCACATCGCTTAATGACATACCGCGTTTGAAGCGTCAATCCAAGCAGATTTTTACCATTAACCAATACACGCCACGCGAGCGCTCTGAAATAGTTGAAACTTACATTCAACAGAAGAAGTCAATTGTTAAAAAAAAATGTGAGAAGTGCGCCTTCTAAGAACACCATTAAGCGTTTATACGAACAAAATTCGACTGGTAAGGCTCTTTCTAATCCGAAGAGGCCATATAAAAGTCGACCAAGGCGATTGGCCGAGAATATCGCTGCCGTACGAGCCAGTGTTGAGAGGTCCCCAAGAACATCCCAAAAACGCCGTTCTCAGCAGTTGGGCATGGCTCGGTCCACTTTACAACGGATTATTCGCATTGATTTGTTCCCGTACAAAATTCAATTGATGCAAAGAATGTTGCCTGCGGACAAGCCTCGTCGATTGGAATGGGCCCAAAGGTCCATCGAATATGGGCAACCCTGTGTATAGAGTGAAAAAAACTGCAACCAACTACAGACTGCTGTCATTTCTAAGCTACTCGTCCGACAGCTGTTAAAATTATTCCGGTGACAGCTCATTATATTGTTTTGCAAGCGTACAAAATCATTTTGATAAGAATTTTCCAGAAAAAAAGTTATTCGTGATGGAATTCAGGCGTGATATTGTGATTTCTTTATATTTGGCTGAGATACCACAAGTGGCTATCGTTAGAGCACTTCACCATTTAAATATGAATTAATACTTTGTGTCTCGCACCATCGCTCGTTACCGTGATACTGGGAGCATAGCCCGACGTCAAGGAAGTGGATGGAAGAAAACATTAGCATCAGCAGAAATGGTTCGAAAATTAAAGAAGCGACTTGATCGAAACCCGCGACGCAGTAACCTAAAAATGGCTCATGAGCTGAACATATCGCAATATACCATTCGGCAAATATTGAAAAATGAGCTCGGTGTAAAGCCATTGAAATTCCAAAAAGTCCAAGAACTTACACCGCAACAGAAAGAAAATAGACTCAAAAGAGCTGAATCGTTGCTTTGCTTGGCCGAAAGTGATGAACTACCGAATTTGGTTTTCTCCGATGAGAAAACATTCGTTGTCCAGCTGTTTGTAAACAAACAAATTTATCGTGTTTACTTGCCAAAGAGGTCAGCTGAAATTGTGCACCTTCGGTTGGCCACCAGAACTCAAGCGTCGGCCATGGTGATGGTGTGGGCCACCATAACAGCCGATGGTCGTTCTACGCTCGTATTAATCGACAGTGGCATCAGAATAAATGCCAAATATTATCGCGAAAATATTCTGGAGGGTGTATTAAAGCCTTGTGCACGCAAACATTTTGGCCGCAGACCTTGGACATTCCAACAGGACTCAGCTCCATCGCACTCAACACGCGCCACCCAAGAACGGTTATAAAATGAGGTTCCTCCGCCACCAAAATCTCCGGATACCAATCCGTTGGACTATTGTGTCTGGAGTATTTTGGAAAGCAAGGTTGGCACTAAAAAATGCCAAAGTGTCGATCACCAAAAGGAAGCGCTTCGCCGGGAATGGGCCAAAATACTGAAGAGCAACATTCGGGCAGCGTGTAACGGTTTCATTGATCATTGTTGGTTTGAAGGCCATAATTCGTGCCAAAGGTGACCAATTCGAACAAATCTAAACTTATTCTAAAATTTGATGCTATTTCCGACATTTTTTGCTTCAGTTAAATAAAATTATGGCGTTTGACTTTGTTGCAGTTTTTTTTATCTCACCATGTATGTATATTTTTGATCAGCTTAAGATTCTATATCGATTTAGCGATGTCCGTCACTGAAGGGAAATCACTCTAGCTTCCGAACGAAATGAAGTAGGTTGATAAAATTATTCACCGTAATTGTTTCAAATTTGGTATTTGAAGTTCGCTATGGATACTACAACCCATGACAGAAAATTGTCTGTGCAGGTCCACGTTTTCGTATAGCCCCCACATAACAGTACCTCCCGATATTCGGTATTTTGATGATTTTAGCAACATTTTTCACCGTAATTGTTTTAAATTTGATATTTGAAGTTCGTAATCGATACTACAGCCCATGACAGAAAATTTTCTGTGTTGGTCCAGGTCTTCGTATAGCCCCCATATAACGGTTCCTCCCGATATTCGGTATTTGGATGATTTCAGCGACATAATTTTCCCCGAAATTGTTTCAAATTTGGCATTTGAAGTTCGTAATGGATACTACAGCCTATGACAGAAAATTGTTTGTGCTGGTCCACGTCTTCGCATAGCCCCCATATAACGGTACCCCCCGATATTCGGTATTTTGATGATTTTAGCGACATTTTTCACTGGAATTGTTTCAAATTTGGCATTTAAAATTCGTAATGGGTACTACAGCCTATGACAGAAAATTGTCTGTGCAGGTCTATGTTTTCGCATAGCCCCCATAAAACGGCACCTCCCGATATTCGGTATTTTGATGATAGCGACATTTTCACTGGAGTTGTTTCAAATTTTGTATTGAAAGTTCGTAATGCATACTACAGCCTATAATAGAATATTGTCTGGCATAGCACCCATGGTATATTCGGTACTTTGATTATTTTAGCTACATTATTAACTGATTTTTTTTCAAGTTTCGCATTTGGATATTGTAATGGCTTATGATAAAAGTTGCCTATGCAGGTCCACGTCGTCGTATAGACCCTAATATAATGGCTAAATTCAGTATTTTTACAATTTAAATAGAATTTTTAAGGATTTTATTTTTTTTAAATTTGCAAATTCGTTGGAAATGGTGGAGGGTATTCAAAACTCGGCCCGACCGAACTTACAGCTTTTTTAACTTGTTATTCTTGCAGGACACAATTATTATGATTTCAAAAATGCAACCGTTGTAAAATACCATAACTGTATTGGTATAGGTTACACATCCTAGACAAGCCCTTTATAGCTTATTTGCGTGCTTAGGTTTCGAAAAAAATTTCTGTTTTCTAGACAACTATTTGTTCTAATATACAAATACATAACAAAGACGAGACAGATAATTGCTGCGAATTATGTTGCAATGTATCAATAATTTGATTGTTTATCTCAATCAGACATACATGTCATAATTACCTTTTTGAAAAAAGTGTTAAATATTTTCAGCCAGTGAAGTGGCATGTAAAATTGTTGTTCCCAACTTAGTGTAAGGAAATCTGAAAATATATGTAAATAATGCAAAAATTAGAATATAGGTTTTTTTTAATATATGTATACATGAAGAAAATTCGAAAAATATTAAAATTATTTATTGGGGGAATAAAACAACATCACGGATATAAAATGAAAAAATATCAATTATTTACATCATTATATGAAGTTATTGACGTACGTCTGAACGTATTTTCCATCCCCATATATGTCAACATATTTCATTAATTCAATTAAATTGTTTAACGACTTCTGGCAAAAATCAAAAATTCCATGATATCACCTCAAATTCGAGCATTACCTTAATCCCAACAATACAATTTCTCCCATTTCTTTCTTTGTTACAATTGAAAATTGACACAAATTTAATGACAGCGCGATAACAGTATGTCGCCGACCACTCACACACACACACACCAGCACAAAAATTGGGAATTTAGGTCAAAAAATTGTAATACAGCAATGAAATTAATCAGCACTGGCTAGGTAGGTAGGTGTCAATGAAATCATAAAAAACAAGACGAAAATAACAAAATGAAAACAACAGTAGCAGAAACAAATAATTGGGGAATAATTGATGTTAAGTAAAAAAATAACAAAAAAAGCATTGTTCTCCAACACCATCAGGAATATTTAATTTTTATTGGGGCGATAAAAAAAAATACAAGGGAAGAATTATTAAATAAGGTGGCCTAGATGTGTTCCACAGCTGTATTTTAAAGTGGAAAAGAAGGAGAGTTGAAAGTATTCCCCAGCTCAAGTTTGGTAGCCACATGTGTCACTTTTAGCTCTACTGGTAAGGACAATTATATAAATTTTAAGTTTTGTTAGGTTATGTGGCGAAAAATCGCCACATATCTGGTTGACATAGGCTTAGACCAGTATAGGTCTGTTGTGAGCTCTAGATAAAAGTTACTGAATGAAGACGGCTTGTTTGCAGTTTATTATATCAGGAATTCAGTTGCCTTAACAAAATTCCTTTATTTCATTTTCCATAATCTGATTAAGGTCTGCTAGGGAGTCGTTCCCTCTGAAAAAGGTTACGGTATAAAGTTCTGCAACAAAAAATCCAGTCCCACGCCTACAATACAAAAAAGGGAATTGGGATACAAATTTGGAAAAATTATAAATAGACCATGAACAACTGAAAATTGAATTTATAAAAAATTTCGTTGAAAAGGTGACAAGGCAAGAACTGGTAGAATAAGCATTCCAATGCTTTTGTAATGTTTAGGAGAGTTCTTAATTATTGTCTTTATACCCTACACCACAAGGTTTTCAGGGTATTATGTATTTGTGCATTTGTTTGTAACAGGCAAAAGGAAACGAGATAGACCCAAAGTTCCTTTTGATGATCTGCATAGAATCACATTCTGAGTCGATTTATGCATGTCCGTCCGTCCGTCTGTCCATGTATTTTTTTTTAAAGTAC